CATGTCTCCCCTTCTGTATTACCCCTTTTCCACCAAGGCAGTTCCAGGGCTGGTTTGGTTCTTTCGCATTTCCACAGAAAAATGGTTCGAAAGCAGCAACAACACTTTTCTGATCTAGACCCGAGAACTGCTTACGTTAGGGGCAGGGACGGGATTATGAGGACCAAGAAAACCAACTAAAATTTTGCAACAGAGCATAGTGTAGCATCCAGACTGCCTAATCCAAAGAAGAAAAACCTGAGCTTCAGTATGGATGCCAAATCGAAGCAAAACATTTAAAGAGACAGTGTAGTCTGCCATTGTTGTTGTTGTGCGTGGTTCTAGCACTGCCTGTACGAGAGTGATGTAATGACGTGGCTCTGTGATGGTTCTTCCCGTGGTAAAGCGAACCAGCTTCTCAGGTTGAACCAATTTTGAAGTGCCACTAGCATCAGATTCACATCGTATGAACTACTTCTTTTCGAGAGTAACCCAACCATGGCACAGCAGTTGAGATTAAAGCTAATGACAGCATAGAAGCAACATAAATGTGTGTACTACATTTCAAGGCGATCCATCTAAATAATATTCTAAGAAATATGGCCATTTATAGAGCTGCACTACTAGGAAGGCTTAAACCTTTTATTTCTGTAAGTACTGTGTTTTGATGCTGTTTGATCCTGTACCCACACATATACAGAAAGGTTTTGCTCATTGCTGTAAAATGTTGCCGGTGTGTCTTCTTCTTCTACTTCTCCCATTTCACCATTTGACCAAAGCTTGACGATCAACTTTCCCTTTCTAGTAGGACCCAGGAGCGGGTCTAGTTTCTCTATTTCTATTTGTCATCCAGTTTAGCTCCTACCTGGTGACCTAGAACGACTTGCTCCACCCCCTATCATTTTCACCTCTGCAAACACAGTTAATCTAGGATGATGTGACGATACAAAGGCAACGTCATCCAGTGTATCACTTAGCATGTTATGTATTTTGTCTCCTGCAGTGAAAAGCCTGATCTAGACTGACGGATTTCTCAGCTTCCGCTCTTTTTTTCTGTCTGTCTGAATTGTGAAAATATAATGAATTCAGGATGTCTCATCAGAGGATTGCAGCACATGCTCACATTATTACCATCAGTGATGTAACAGACTGGATCTGGAAGAGACACATTCACATATTAACATTTTTCTGGTCTATTTTTGAGCTTTTGTTAATTAACTAGAGCATAAAATTATATTTACTATTTACAGAAAGCAAATTAAAGGGAGGGAGAAGTAATGTATCGACAGACATGCAGCTGAGAAAAACATTGAAATCATTATTTATCCAATACACTCTATACAGCTATTAGATTACAGTTCTTGGTGCTGAACACTCAGGAGTGACTGCAGGCCTGGATGTATATTTACATACATATTGGTATTACATAAGCAAAACCCTCACATGTCATAATAATGGCTGTGCAAGAGTCTGTGCAAATAATGCGTAAACCAAGGTACAAGATGGTTGTGCTGTGACATGAAACTAAGGCAGCACAGGAAGGCAAGGATGTGAGAGATGTTATCATTTAGCAAAATCTTAATTTGGATGCTTGTGGACGATATTGGAAGAGGTTCATACAGCTGCAGGGTTTAGATGAGCGGACACAGCTGCTATCTGAAAATTTGAATGAAGTTAAACTTGGACACTGTGGTCAGTAATCTGGCAGCTTTATTGTTTGAGTGCCAGGCACTGAAGATGGAGAACACGGTTTCTGTACTGGCAGAGGTAGTGACTCTTCACCTGGCAGGAGAGCAGCAGCAGCAGCAGGAGCAGTATCAGGGATTTAGGTACGAGTGTGGCAGCACGGTTTGGTACCAGATTTACAGTGTTGAGATTAATGATAAAACATGTATTTACTGACTGTTATCGAGGAGAGGAGGGAGAGTGATAACGGGATTGCTGGTTGTGATTACCCTGCTGAAATCACGACAGGCAGACCAGGACTGCGAGCCATAAAAGGTTGAGTTCAAAGCATTAAACACCTGGTTCTGTTTCCTTTGCTCATTCATCAGCAAGAAAAGGAGTAATAGCCACCAGTTGAAGTAGTTTCTGATGGCACAGGGAAGAATGATGCTTGAAGATGTTGCTGATGTGCCACAGACTTGCCCTGTGGTAGAACTGCTGAGAGCCATTTATTTAAATATAATAAATCATAAAGTCTCAACTTTTTTTCTTTAAATGAAATCAAACAACAATATCTTTATAATAATATAATAACCCTTTTCCTACAATTAAATGGATGTCTGATATATAATGCATTTATAAATAGTTTATTATTTAAATTGGAAACTTAATTCGTAGAACTGGATTTAGATAGCGGGTGAGGCAGCTGGGAGTGGTGAATAAATCAAGGTTTTATTTATGTTAAATACACATGACACAGTTTTTTTCCTTTGGTATGCTGATTCCTTCACTCCTACTATTAATTGTCTGGACTCATTAAATTTTAGATAAGAGTCGGCACTTTCTTAAGACTTTTCATATAATAACAAAACTATTTAGCATGTGTGAAAAAATAAATGTTTTGTTTTTAAAGGAAGTTTATTAGTAAATTATTTCTACCTGACAACTGATTTAAAGAAAATGTTTAAATCCTGGATAAATAGATGCACTTTCAAAGAAAATAAGTAATTAATTTGTTGTTCATGGCACATCTACTCGTCAACATGACAAGATATTAAAAAGAAAAGATAAAAAAGTATGTCTGACCTCTCTACCTGTTCAAAGCTTATCGCTATAAGGATTTGTTCTTTTGAATCTTGTAGATATTCAATATAACACAGGAGGCTCGGTTGTGTTTACTTTTGTTTACCTGTGTTGGTTACAGCACAAAGTTTCTCCTCACTGTTTACTCGGTGCAGCTCGGCTGTAGCTGCTCTCATGTCACACTATCGATGTGATCCGTGTCGACTGCGTGCATCCCCTGGTTTGTCACTGAGTCGAGGGGCCCGGCTGCCATGTCACAGGTGTGACGCTGAGAAAGGTCAAAAGCTGGGAGACAGATGGCATGCACACGTAGACCCACACACAAACACACACACACACACACACACACCAGACACACATATCCTCCCACACACTTTTAACACTCCCAAAGGGACAGAGATCTATTGTGCAACTCAGATGGGCATCACTGCAGCCTGTCAGTCACTCTCACACACACACACACACACACACACACACACACACACACACACACACACACACACACACACACACACACACACAGAGAGACAGTCAGTGTAGCCAAACAGATGTCTAGTAGAGCATGAAGTCTTTTTAGAGGCGTTCATCATTTTGGTTGTGGGGAAAAAAAAGTCACCAAATATTACTTTTACTACTGAATTAATTATTATTAATGTATGCTTTTAGTTGTACTACTGTTACTGATGATGATAATAATAATAGCAATAATAATAATAGTGGAAATGATAATGATAATAATGATTAAAAGTAGAAGGAGAACGAGATGAACAAGAATATTAATAAAACAAGGAAAAAGAATAAGAGGCTAAACACTGGCTGCCAAACAGTAGTAGTGTATGATTTTAGTATTCTACCCTCTACTTCATTGATATTTGCAACATAAACCTGTTTTACAACTGTTGTCTTTATGATTTGAATTTCATATGATTTACGGGTGTGTTCTGGCTTTTGTTGTATTTCAATATATCTTAATGTCAGACAGTGAATGCCTGTCTCTGTCTTGATAAAGGTTGCTGGCCTGTGTAAACACCAGGGGCAACGATGAAAATAAGTCCTGGACTTTATTGTTCTGTCCCGACAAAGCCTGATATGTTGTATTTTTATTAGCCATGCTAGCAGCATGGCGCTAGGGATTGCAGTGGCAATGTTGCTGATCCACCACTTTTGTCCAGATTCAAATATTTCAACAGCTACAGGATGAATTGCTGTAAAACTGCCGTATTGTCTTTGGTGATATCCTGACTTTTCCTCTCGCGCTGCTAGCAGTGCTAATCAGCATGTCATTTTGTCATGCTAACACACCAAAGTAAGATGGCTAAGATAGTATGTTAGCAAGCACCACTTAGCTCAAGGACAGCCTCACAGAGCCATGGCTGCAGACTCTTAGTCTTGTTATAAATATATTAGTATTGTCAATAACCATTTTGTCACTAAGAGTTGTACTTTTTAATTGATTGTTTATCCGGTGCAGTTATAAGTGAGTTATAATAAGATCTGAAAGACAGTGCTGGTTGGTTTATCTTGTGCAGCTATAACCAGAGACAGGTCATGCCTCTATTATCAGTCACCACCTTTTATCATCCATCCCCCTTTTCTCTCCCGTCCCCACTGTCTCCCTCCACTCTCTAACACTGTTACCATTTAGGGTATCCATGCCCCACTGCCAACAGCAAGGAATGTGTTGTGTGCGTGTGTTTGTGTGTGTGTGTGTGTTGTGTTATAGCCTGTGTCATTTTGTGTGTGTCCGCCATGTGTTTGTGGGTGCCTGTATTGTTTTCCTACGTGCTCGAATGCTGGTAACTAACACAAGTATTTTCTTGGGGGTGGTGGGGTAATAAAGTCCATAAAATACTTGGGCAGGCTTCCTCACTACAGTGCGAGTATTTAGGCGTGTGGGTGTTTGTGTGTCAAAGGTGGTTTGTGTGCAGAGGCGTTTGTGAGTGTGTGTGCAGGCGTTAGACACTCACCATTGTACAACACTCTGAGCATGGAGGCATCTGACCCTCAATAATAGATGTGGCTGCAGTGAATATTTAATGAGTGGGGGGTGGTGTAGATACATGCACACATTTCCACACACACAAACACAGGAGGAAATGGAAATATAATATCCATGCTTGTATGACTTTTAGACTGAAGCTCTTAGGAAAGTGGTCTCTATGTGTTCGGGTGATGCTCTCAGTAAAAGATACTATGGAATTTCGCCAGCCAGCTACTTAAGCTTTAACCTCCCCCTCCTCTTTTTTTACTCTTCTCTCTCTTTCTTCCAACAGGGCTCTCAGGATAGTGCTGGCGGTCAGGAGGGACTCGTACCCCCACCTTTCTCCGCGTTCCCTCCACCTCCACCGCCGCCCCCCCAAAACGGCCTGGCCCTGGATTACGGGGGCAGTCTGTACGCAGCGGGGGCTGTCCAGGGCCCCGTGGAAGCTGGCGGAGCAGCGAACAGCGCCGCCAACGCCGCCAACAGCCTCAGTGTCCAAGTGAGTGCCAGCCTCTTCCTGAGTGCAACCCACATCAGGTCTTTGCCTTGAGAGGCCACAGAGATTGAGAGCATGTCGGAATATGTTATAAATAAATAAATAATCATGACTTAGACTTTTCCCCATGATTCAATACCACTGTTGTTGAGTGAGTAAGTGACAGGCAGGGTGTAAATTTGCCCCAAACATTATAGCACTCCTACTCTCAGATGAATTTTCTCAATCTTTCTACACTTATACTGTCCACATCGATGGTTGATTGCTCACAGATTTTTTACAAGTCAAATGGACAGAATTGTGAAATTAATACTATTATGAACGACTACTAAAACTATAACACGGGACCAGGATCAGTTGATAGCATAATAAAGTGACTTTACAAGGTCCTATACAAACATCTTTTTAGGCTTGTGAAAATTTGAAACTGTAATTTAAGACTAAATCCACTGAATTTTACAGTAGCAATGGTCACATTTTATTATGGCAAGAACCTATCTGCATTTATTGTGGCTGGTGATGTCTGACAGATACTCAATCCACCTCAAGTTGGACATTTTTATAACATGAGATCAGGAAGTCACTGAGCCCAGACAAGACACTGTGTGTAAAACACACCTTGTTGATTTTACACTTGAACAGACAGATATGAGTTAGAGTTGTTGCCAACTCACTCTCCGCCAAAAAGCCAGTCATAGTTCATGAGTAAGTCATAGGAACGAGGATATGGATGAATCCTCACTGTGTTTCACAATATCAATATACTGTATATCATGGTATTTTAAAATTTCCTGAAAATCCATTCAGAAACACTTTTCTGATCGTTTGTTTTGTCCAACCAACAGGATAAAACCTTAGAATATTAAATTTTAAATGGGATAAAACTGAAAAAAAATAACATCCTCACATTGGAGATGCTCATTGTTTGGAATATTTCTTCATAAATAACCTATTAGTTGTTATTAATATTCTGTTCTTCATCTGATAAATTAATCCAATAAATGCTTCATTATTGCAGTTTATAGATTAAAAAAGCCTAATGGACTGATTAATTGATAAGTCTATCGATATAAATGTAAAACAAAAACAGGCAATTCCATTATGTTGTATGAAAAAAGATTAATCGGTTCGGGAAAAAAATAGCATACGGCAGTATGATGGCTGATTATGAAAACCGTTGTTAAAAGCATCCCCATAGCTACCACAGCATAAAGAGTGAAAATCAGAGAAAATTACAGATTTTTTTTTTTTTTTTTTTTCATCGTCATATCTCACAGCCCTATTAAGACATCACTTCTTTGTTTTCCCCTCATGATCTTTGCTGTGTCTCTGTCATGTGCTTCTGTCCCTGCAGTCCGATGGGTCCTCCCAGATTGACGGACAGTCAGGGGTTGGCTCGGGAGGAGGAGGTGGTGGGGGGAGTGTCGGGGATGACTCAGACGCCAAGGGGACCCCCAAACGCCTCCACGTGTCCAACATCCCCTTCCGTTTCCGAGACCCAGACCTACGGCAGATGTTTGGGGTATGTAGACCAGAATATTCTCCCTTTTTCACAGTGCGTCATCATATAACAATAGCTGTGAAAAGGAGCTTTGGAGTCCAAACATGCAGTTAGTAAAAATACTGACTCTAAGGAGCCATCAAGTGACGTCAACACTCCTCACCTCAAATTACCTTTTACTCTTTATTTCCTGTGATCCTTGAGAGACATTTTTAAAATAGATATAAGATTCTGTCATGTTTGTTTCAGCTAAAAGAAATCATGTTTTGTCACATTTGACAGAATATCCAAAACTATTACTTGGAATATCAACTTCGACAGGTTATTTTAAGTCAGGTGTAACACTGCTCGGCTGTTTTGTACTACAAATGTCGCTAAAATGTGGTGCATAGAAAAGAACAGAGGCAAGGAAGATATGTCAGAGAAAAAAAAGGACTACTAGAGCTGGCTCAGTGCCACCTCATCATGGTTGAACAGTGCTGACACCCTGTGGCAAGATACAGTACATGACTTACATGTTTGCGTCTTCATTGTCCTCCTCTTCTTCTTTTCTGTTTCAGCAATTTGGCAAAATCCTCGATGTCGAGATCATTTTTAATGAGAGGGGATCCAAGGTGAGTGCACTGGAACAACACCTAATTTCTAAAGTTTGTCAACCATAAATGATGTTAATAAAAAGCTTAACCACTATCTCCAACGTTCTCTCATTCTCCCCCTCCTTTTTTTTTTTTCTGTCTTTGTGTCTCTTCTGCTCGCAGGGCTTCGGTTTTGTAACGTTCGAGTCGAGTGCAGATGCAGAGAGGGCCAGAGAGAAGCTTCACGGTACACTGGTGGAAGGACGTAAAATCGAGGTAACTCACCACCCTCGCCCCCCTTTTTTTGGAAACAGTGACCATTTTCTCCTCTGTTTTCCCTTCCATGTCCGACAATGAGAATGAGTTTGTTCTGGTCGTTTCTGCCCCAGAGAAGGTTTTTTCCGGATGGCTGTATGTGTTCAATTCTAACCCCTCTGGCTTCACTATAGCATGGTGCAGTGGTGCCGCGCACACAGACGTCTCTTTTTGACGGCACTTCCTGTCGATGTTTATGCTGTTGTTTGTTCTTGTCGTTGATGTCGTGGGCTGTCCATTGCACCTTGATCTTAAACGCTGTGTGGTTTGCAAAAGCATGCTGGGTGGAGTGGCTACACAACAGGCATGGCCGGTGAGACGTCGCTATGACACGTTTGCTGACGATATCCGCTTCTGTCACAGCATGTAGGATCTTATTCGTTTTTGTTTTCCTGCACCTTCTCCATCACCATCATCACTTCTTCCATGATCATGACGAGTGGCCATTTTTGGTTTATGGTTGCGTTTATGACCGGAAGGGCTGTTAGTGGCCTCTTAGTTATTTTCCTCTAAAAAAAAATAAATAAATAAATAAAATAAAGTGCTTGCTGGTGTCTGTAAGAGGCTACTGTATGTTGCATGGATGGATCATGAGGTCAGAAGTCATCTTAGGAGTTTTTCACTCTTTCACTTAATATTACATAGTTGCCTCTGGGTTGCTGGGTTTTATTTTTTTATGTTTGATGTGTGATGTGTTAAGAGGACTGATGCATGATGGGGGCATTTTCAATGGGCAGTTTTTGGGAATGAGACTGCCGTGAGAAGTGTGGTGTCATTTCTTATGCTTCAAAAAGCTGTTTTCAGACGTGCGAGATGGATGGTTTATATATAAAAAAAAAAAAAAAAAAAAAAAAAAAGTATTGTTTACACACACACTTGCATCCACCACTCCTGAAAAAGAACACCAGATCTCATGGAAGTGCATTTTGTTGTGACATCTTTTTTAATTTGTCAGCATGAGCTCGGATTTCAGTTGCAAATGGCCTCAGAGATCAAATACACCATGCTTTTGCCATTTGCTCTGGCTCTTGATTTTAAATCACGCTTTAATTTTTTTTCTTTCTACTTGCTACTAAAGCTGTTCTGCATGGTCTTGAATGTCCTGCACTCTTCTCTGTCTCTGTGTGTGGGTGTGCAGAATTAGAAATGTGGAGGGTGGAGAGAGAATGAACAAGTGAAGAGAATGCAATAGATAGCTGTCGTTCCCTCTCCTTTCCTTTTTTTTTTTTTTTTTTTTTTTTTAATATATATATATATATATATATATATACATATTGGTTCTCCTCCATCTCTCTCCGCTCTTTTTCACCAGGCCAGTCTGTCTGTCTGACTCTCCCAGTTTGTGTGTCCCCATATGCACCTGCATTTCTGCTGTCCATCCTTCCCTCCATATCTCTGTCCATTTCCCTGTCCTGTGATGTAGTCAGGTAGCATAAACATTGGAGAATGGGATTAAGTTTGATCTTTTTTTTTCTTTTTTTTTTTCTTTTTCTTTTTTTTTGAGTGATTATTTTGTCAGTTATTTGAATATAATCTGGGCAATAATAACGGGTAGTTTCCCTCCCAACTTAGATATGAATTTCTGACATTTTCTGTTTCCATTTGTTTCCTCCTTTCTAAACTTTTATGATCTGTGTTTTTAGCGGGTTTTAAACAGTAGAGGTTAGATTGTTGTCATATGGCTGATGCTTGTAGGTGACTGTTGACACGTGACCTGTTACATCACTTCCTCTCTACCACAGGGTGGGGGTTGCTTTTCATTACCTCGTTTTTGTTTGTTTTTTTTTTTGGTTTTTTTGTTTTTTGTTTTTTTGTTTTTTTTTGGTTCATCATTTCTTTCTTACATATATTTTCTCTATTTCCCTGATGATTTTTGTATGTTGTTGTTGTTGTCAGTCTCCACGGTAACTGCTCGCGTGTCCTCACGCCGTTTCCCTGGCAACGGTAAGTTGTGTACACATGGCATCATCTTTGAATGACCCCTCCCCCCACCCCATCCGTCCAAATGAAATAAAATGCACCCAACACCCAAATGAAAGACTCCTTTACTGAAGGGAGCTTGATTGATTGATTGACAGAACCTGATTGGCTAATCCTGTGATTGATTGGGGAGGTGGTGAATGAAACGATTACGAGATTAGCCATTGACCGCATGGCATTATAAAGGCCACTTGTGTAACTGAATGTACTGCATCTATCTGCAAGTGCAACAACTATGACTACCACTTCTTATGCATTCATTCCAATCACCTCTCTAACTGCATTCAGCATTTAATTCCAGAGCTGTATCCTGCATGGTTTACTCTCTTTCTCGTCATCTGTATGACGCCATATAGTACTATGTCATCTCTCTGTGTCATGTGTCAGCCAGTAGCTGCATTTTTGCACCTTAGTGGGACAGCATGCTGAAGCATGAGTGCTATGTTAGCTTTACTGGAGAGAGAGGATAATAGTTGTCTGTATCTCATGGTGTACGTTAGTACTTTCTGTATTACTTGGTAGACAGCAGACAGTTGTAGATGTACCGCTGTTAAGATTTAACATTTAAAGTAAAGAAATATATTTGGATGAATAGTGTGTGCTCTGTAGAGGATGCAACCACTTTGGAGCAAATCTGCTCTTTATATGTAATATGAACACCTTTTAGAATTTGAGACTTTTAAGAAGGAATAAAAAGCTGCCATCAAAGTAACCTGTTAGACCCCAGCAAAGCAAACTGAGCCATTAAGTAACAGCAGCTTTTCTTTATGATCTCTGTAAAGAGGTGTCCTTCTTTTACTTTTTGATCAGTTTGGTTCTGGATGGTGTGTGTTGGTGATTGTGTGCTTCGAGGTTTTTCTGGTGTGGGACACTGATCTGGAATGCCTGGCAGTGTTTCACAACCATGGTTTGATTTGATTTTTTTTTTTTGTTTTTTGTTTTTTTGTTTTTGAGGAATGATATCTGCATCCCCCATCCTCTCTGTCTTTTATCTAGACTGTTCTCTCTCTGTATTCGTTCTTGCTCCATTTATCATTTCTCCATCGTTGCTCATGTACAGTTAGATCCAATGTAGGCAAATGGTCAGATGTATTTTGTATGTGTGTACGGCATCTTGTTGTTTCTGTTTGTTCATTAGAGGAATTGCACATTTGGATGGATTATTCACTCTCTCTGTCTCTCTCTTCTCCACATCATGTACATGTTTTTTCTGTGTCTTTTCATGTGGACTGGCTCCTCCTCCTGCATCCCTCTATATTTCTGTCTCTTCTCTGTCGTTCTCTCTCCCTCCCCTTCCTCCTCTTTCTGTATGATGTGTATTTGATTGGGAGGGCTGCCAGCCTTTTTTGATTGGTCTCTTGCTGCATCTGATGCTTGCTGATTGGCTAGTTTTGCTCACCTCTGGTGATGTGATGCGCTCTTGATTGGCTGCGTGTAATTTTGTATGAATTCTTCGATTGATGTTTTTTGCATTGTGTTCAACTGATGAATCTGCCGCTTAATTCACCTTCTTTTTCCCTCCTTTTTTTTAAAGGTAGCAATATAATGGTCTTGGATTTCTTTTTGAATGCCTTTGTTCTGAAATATTTTGTTGTTTTCTTTGTTCTGTGTGCCAATGGTTGCATTGTTTGTGTGCAAAACTGCCTGACTACTCACCAGGATCCTTGTTTTCAATGTCTTTCTCCTTCAAAAGAAGCGCATGCATCAAATACCATCGCTGCTCATCAACAGAATTAACCTCTGTCATAAGTAAAAAACTATTTAAAGTGTAATGACACCTCACACTTCAAGTACAAGATTGATGTGAAAACTCCAATCATATATCCAGTATGTGTTAGGGAATACGTTCAGCTTCAGACAGCATACAACACAAACTTGAATGTAATTGGACTGTGCATCATTTTTTGATCATTCCTCAATACTGCATGTGATACAGTGGGTTAAATTAGCCTCTGACCACTTTTTCTGATGTCCAGGTCAATAATGCCACAGCCAGAGTGATGACGAACAAGAAGATGACTACACCGTACTCTAACGGAGAGGGCCTCGCTGCTCTTCCATATGGTAGTGCCTTTTGTACAGTTCTAGCTGTGTTCAGGTAGCAATATGGCTGAAATCGATATCACAATATCGGTTATATATCCAAATTTAAATATCACAGTATGGCCAATTTACGCAGAAATGCTCCATTTTCTGTTAATGATATGAATTGTTTTATGCGTCATGTCAGTTGTTCATTTAGTTGATTTTTCATCAGGATTTGCTTGTAATCATTATTTGAATAGTAGACTTTTGTATATCAGTAACATGATATCATAATCATAAAGACTTAACTTAAAACCAGTCAATATACAGTATGTTAACAGTGAATTGCCTTTCTTTTGACTCCAGCTGGATGGAAATTGAGTCCCATGGTTGGCGCAATGTACAGTCCTGAGCTCTATACAGGTAGGACAACACTTATTATCGTTATAAATAAAAAAGACGAATGGAGACGAGATGTACGGGGGGGGGGGGGGAGAAGCTGATTTTTCTTTCTTCATTATTTTTCTCTCCCTCTTTCACTCAGTACCAGGGTTTCCATACCCAGCAGCAGCAGCAGCAGCTGCTTCTACCGCTGCGACGTTTCGGGGCGCTCATCTCCGGGGTCGTGCGCGGCCCGTCTACAGTGCAGTCAGGGCAGCTGTGCCACAACCTGCCATCCCTACATACCCGGGGTAAACACACATTAACATCAATATAAACCGATAACTACACTAGCAAATTGCTATTGATAATGAATAGTCGACGTACTGTAGCGTTCTTTTTAAATGCATGTCTTCACGTAGTTAAAATTAGTACTTGATAATTGTGCATGTTGTGTGTTTGAATATGTTTTTTTATTGAGATAATGACATTGATTGCTTGCTGAGCTGAAATACCATTTCCTTGTACCTCAAAAGTGGCAATGATATGACCCTTTAGTGCATTAAAATCAAATTGAATAGTGTTTCCTTCAATAGACCTTTGTCTCAGCGGCTGAAGTAACAGTAGTATCACTCTGAAGTCAGTGCATTTCCATACAAAGAGGTGGTATTTTGTCTTGCATGTTGCACGGTGTGTAATAATCTCACCCTTCTTTCTCTTCTCTCTTTCACAATCTGTTTGGCACCATTTTCTCACCTCTCTCTCCCTCACCCGTCACTCTTGTTTGTTGTTTTCTGCAATGCCCACATGGTGGCGCATCACACCATTTTTCTTTTGTTTGTTTGTTTGTTTCGACATTCCACCACCGCTCCTCTGTACTCTCTCCTTTTCCTTCTTTCTTTCCTTTCTCGTCTCTCTCAGTGTGATGGCCTATCAGGATGGTTTTTACGGTGCAGCCGATCTCTATGTAAGTATACCTCTCTCTCCTCTACTGCCTCACTGCTCACCTACGTTTCCCTCCTCTTGCCTGTGGGTTTTCAAGTGTGAAATGGCACAGACCAAACCCATAGAGATGTGTACTTTTGGGTGTTTTTGGTTCATCAAAGAGAGACATTTTATATTCTCTATACCCAATTTTAAGCTGTCAAATTATGTTCAATTTCACACAGTGTGCTCCATCCATCCAATACATACATATATATAGAAACATGAACAGTCCGGCACACACATTTTAATCATGTGTTCATTCATGAGTAGACTCCTCTAGGGTTTGTCTCAGTGCATTTGTGAGTTAGTTTGTACCAATGTGATTATGAACGTGTGTCTGTGTGAGTGTGTGTGTGTGTGTGTGTGTGTGTTTGTGTGTGTGTGTATGTGACCAGGTTGACAATAGCTGTTTCTGTTCTCTCTGTAGACTAGTGTTTCAGGACATTAGTGGCAGATTGCCCCAGGTAGGGTTTACACACTCTGTGTGAGAGCCAGTGTGCATCCTCCTCGTCTCCAATGACTGCGTGCTGCTAGACATTATTGACCATCTGAGACTGAAATGCCTTCTCTGTCTTCTTCTACTAACTCACTGGATTCTGACATGGGTGGAGTTGCGGAAGGGGGAGAAAAGAAATAAGTTTAAATCTGAATTCATAAAGAGCGTACAGTATAAAAATGTTCACTCACAAAATCTGTTGAGGAGAAAAGGATTATCTGCATTTTAGGCTAAATGAGATACAGGGAAGGTCAGTACTTGAACAGTGGGTCACTTTCTTCAACCAAATTTTTGCACTGGTGGTTTTCAAGTGTTCAAGTCTATGCCATGACAATACATTCAGCTAGCTATGCACATTTTCTCCTCAGTGTGAAAACAAAGGCATTTTGTCTTATTCTGGCATCGTCCATATGTTAATGTAATTTCATTATGTTTTTGAGGCAAGATGCATTTAAAAGAAATTCACATTTTATTATATTATTTGACAAATTCATTACAGACTTCTATTCCAAAACATGTAAAAACAAACATCCAAAACTGGGGTAATTGAGTTTAAAAAAAAAGACAACAAAAAAAAACCTAAAAACAAACAGATGATGCAAATTTTCATGCCAGGACATGTTGTCATTTTGTTACACTGTTATACTTTTTCATCAGTTCCCCTTCAAGATGCTTAAGCTTGCATATTGTACACAAACATTACGTATCATGCACACGAGTAAGAACGATAATGTATTAGCAGGCTGCATTTGTCATGCTTGAAACACAAACAGGACATGAAAGAAATAAGACACGAATAATGACACTGAAACCTGAGGCTATCCAGTAGTCAGCGGGATGTAGGACAAGAAAATTTGTTCTATCAGCAGTTCATTCAGACCCCTTCCAGGAATCTCCCTATCTGTTTCACCTGTGGCATGCTAACTGAATCAGTGTCGGCATGCAGACATACTTACAAGGCTGACCCCCCCCCC